GTTTATCAAAGGTCTTAAATATATTCCACCATGTCAAAGTCGATTTTTACGCCAATCTATTGATAATATTGTCAATGAACAATATAAAACATTACGTTCGATTGTTCAAGGTTGTCTTGAGGATCATCGTGTGCAGCTTATAAAACCATGTGAGAAAGAAGGTTTTCCTTGCTTGAAACGTATACTCTACGAACTTTAATCAAAAAAATTACCACGTCAACTAAACATTCGTGCTCGACGTGAACAAAAAATAATACGAAGTATAAGAAAAATTTTACGTCATCGACCTGATATTACTGTTCGTCGAACTGACAAGAGCAAAGTATTTTATGCAGGTAATGTGACTATTTTCGCTGACAAAGCTTCGAAATATATGATCGAAACCGAAGCTTATCAAGAGATTTCCAATGAACGTTGTATTTTACCGGAAAATCTCCGATTAGTTACTATGCTTCTAGCTTCTCTCTTGGAAAATCGTGCCATTAATCATGAGCAACATAAGTAAATGTCTCCAAAAATAGATTCATTAGAATTGGCTCATCTTCATTTTATTCCAAAACCACATAAAGTAAGTTTATTTGTATTTATTTCCATTAGGAAGATATATATATAGAATATGTAATTCTTTGAATTCATCTATTTATCTTTCATTTTCATAGCTCGATACACCATTATGACCAATTGTAGCGGCTATTCATGCACCAGCAACAGAAATATCCAAATTTCTTAATGATCTATTAGCACCTATATTTCTACGTGTTTCTCGACAAACTACATTTATTAATGGTAGTGATCTTGTCCGAGCATTAGAAAAATATGTTGCCAATGGTTATTTAAAACCAACCACTTTGTTTATTACTTTTGATGTTGAAAATCTTTATACAATGATACCACGACAAGGTGTTTTAGAAGTATTATTACAATTTCTAGAGCGAAATTTACGTAATAATAAAATCGGTACATTACGTATTGATGATATTATGAGAATGGCTCGTCTCGTATTGGATACGAATATTTTTGCTTATGAAAATAAATACTATCGACAAATACGTGGTGGAGCAATGGGATCTGCCTTTATCCAAACTTTAGCTAATATTTATATGCTAGATTGGAAACAACAACTAATGCATGACCAACAAGCAGATCAGGAAATTTATGGAAGGTTTGTTCAAAATGTTTGAGTGTTATTCAATACTACTTATAATATTTTCATTATTCTCTTTAGATATATTGATGATGTATTTATGACAACAAACTTA